CCCCCACCCTCGCTTCCACCCTTTTCTCCCTCTATCCCTCTCCTTTTTTGAGTTAATTTCTCCTTCTACCCCCCCCCCTTCCCCCCTATCTCCCCAACCCAGCCAACAGCATGCCGACAAATCACACTCCACACGCAGCACAGTACAGGACTCTGGATCTTTCTAGAGTTCCTGCTCACGACACGCGCACGAGTTCTGAGACTTTCTGTGTTGTGCGGAAATAATCATTATTGGTATTACCATTGAAGACTACGTGCTCTGTTTGTCTGTGACATTCCCTCCCTACCCAACCTCATTCTCGCATCCTTATTGTTTGCTTCGCTTCATGATGTCACTGCGAAACGCGTTGTAAATCTCCTGCACCACTCATTACATACATATATTTTATTGCACGTATTACAGTCATTGCTAGCCCTTTAAGACGAAGAGGACAAATGTGATCAGCAGCAGACCAAAGTTTTTGTTGAGACACTTTTAAAACACAAACCAGAAGCACTACTTTGCACATTTCATAGTGTGCGTGTTATTGTCAGCCCTAATAAAATTTCTGATTTTTTAAAAATCTGTTGAATAATCTACATGGATAACGAGAATTAGTTGCTTCTTTTTTTAATAATCGCCCTAAACAGATGACCCACAATGAGCTGAAACCACCCACATAATCAACGTTATCCTCAAGATCGTGACGTACTCATACACAGCAAATACTGCACCCCAAGAGCTGGGAGTCAACAGCGGCATTCCAACCAACCACGAGATAATTTATGTCCCTCATCATCCTTTCATTCATCGCACACTCCCCTATCTTGTCAACCTGTGGGCGTTACCACTCACAGAGCAGATCCAACCCTACCTTCTATCTTCTATCCACCCCCCGCGCTCCCCAACTACCCTCCTTCTTTCATATCCCTTCTAAAGGAAATATAGGGGCATGATGTAGAATGACAGACAAAATGAATGATATAACACACCATAAGAACCCTCAACTGTCCAGGAGATACCCCCCACACACCACAAGACCACCACGCAATACCAAAGCTATGTACCCAGTACCCAGTTTGTTTCTCGTGGAGTGGTTCAAAGCAGTGTTTTTTTTACCTAAGTGTAGAGGGCACAGGGGACAGGCCTATCTTAGGCTCTCCCTCGTGTTTGCTGGTACGAAATACCTATCCAAATATGGGAATGCACTTGGGAAAGTAGGAAAAGTTCTTGCGTGGGGTGTACGCCACGTCAAATAGTATGTATAGACTCTAGTATGTATTTTTAAAAGAACTTAGACAAATGACTGATTAAAGCTGCGCTGCACCCCCCACCCTGCTCCTTTCTCTCTCTCTCTCTCTCTCTCTCTCTCTCTCTCTCTCTCTCTCTCTCTCTCTCTCTCTCTCCCTCTCTTTCAGTTGCTCTCTCAACATTATTAGGTTGTTTAAGACGTGGGACCGCCTCAGAGTAGAACGACCATCTCCTAAAGGACCCAGCCCAAAGGGAGATTCGAGTAGAGTGT